GGGTATCGTGGGTGTTAATCAAAAAAACCATCTGTTCTTGTGATTGGTCCAGACACCTATTTTTTTTGGGGGGGGGGGGAGGCGGCGGCGGCGTGATCGGTCTGAGAATATCGGTGCATGTTGGAAGTGCCTAAAGCATTTTGATTCTATCAAGCTTGGTTAAGCAACAATACTGTAACACCATAAATTACAGCGTGCTGTAATTTCGTAGTATTATACACGGTATTTTTATCCTACTATATTAGGAAATGCCAATTCCAAATATGGAATGACTACGTGCATCAGCATCCTCTAATAATAAAACAAACTTGGCTGCCACCAGACTCCACACAAAGATTCTGTTCTAAACTTTTTTGATTTTGACATTCCTATCATGTAACTTTGGAAGGAAAAGATGTATAATAATAAGGTTATTACGAAGAAACATCAAAGTATGCACTCAGACAGTACGCCGTCGCATCAACTTCAGCTGCGTGTAGGTCGATACTCTCACTGTATTGTCTTATTAGGTATCCTCATAATAAACAGTATTCTATTTAAAAACACACAATTACAGGTGGCATAAATTATTTTGTACACTAATTCTTTATCTCACAAAAGTGATCCATTCGCGCATAACATGAGAAGTAGCGGGAACAGGAAGGGCACAAGTGAAAGTTACAGCCATGGGTTTTAGTCAAAGACCCCCCCCCCCCCGTCCCAACCCCTTAGATAGAATACAAACATTTTTCCTCTATATAAAATGTTGGTCAAAGTGAATCAATTAAAAAATAACTTACAAGTTGTGAACTCTAACCACCATTCCCATGTGGGGAAAAATAAGTTCATAAAAGTATTACTACTCACTCTGAGCAATTTAGTCAAAAGACAAGTTTTAAATTTTAGTGCCATCAGTCAGGGATTTTTAGCTTAACAATTTGTTCACTTGTTTCCCTGTGTTTTACGTAGACAAAATTGGAAATTTTTCCTAACTTAAGAGTGCAGAGTTTTTAAGGTAATGGCAAAACTCAAAACTTGTCTATTCACAAAAACTGACCATGAAATTCCGTACAAGTTCTGTAATACTGTATATGCTCTATTATTCACAAACAGAGTTGTGTAAATGATGGTCTATAGTCAAAATACTTACAATAAATGCAATTCAAGTGCATTTATATTGGAGATGCAACATAGCAAATGACTCGGTAGCAAACTTCAAGTGACTGTCAAAATATTTCCCAACAAAATATGATTCGAGCAGCATAATCACATGCAACATACTGAATAAATTTCTAATATAGTAATACCAGCACCAAGATTTTAGGGTTATTTCATGAACAAGCGATGTACAAAGCCATTATGTAGATACAAGGAAACTGTGAAACAAATCGTACATGTAGACAAATGATCGAAAAGTAATCAAGACAAGTCAACCAAGTCTACCATTTTCATGGATGGTAAACAAAGATGTATGCCACTTGTAGAGTTTAAATATTACACAAATGCAAGAAGAAGTCAAAAATAGATCTGTAGATCACAGGTGAAAAATATTAAAAATATAATTTTTTTTTTACAGTCCGTGTGTTAATCAACAATACAATTTAACACAGGTTACATTCGCACTTTACAAATATGTGAAACGTCACTTCCAGAACAAGCAAAATTCATAAAATGTGTAAAAATGTTTTCGCTAAAATGCGAAATATTAAAAGTAGACATCCTATTGTGACTTTTCTATACATTTCATTTTAAGAATACTAGCAGTACATTGTACTTAGCTAACAGACAAAGTACAGTACAATGCTTTCCAAGTGACCTTCAAAAACAAATTCCGAACTTGGTAAAGTCTATTGTTTACAAATCTAACTTAAGAGGTCCACTTAAATTAATATTCTAAATTTCTCATTATCTATCCACCATCTCAAAATGTTCTGGCATATGTAGCAACTGGCAGAGTTGTAAAGTGTGAATGCAACTGTAACAGGTATTGACAAAAAATTAAATGTTTTGTGCACCTTTCCAATTTTGGACCTTTTGCACTCTGTGAGAAGTAATTTTGAATTTGGGGTTTTTAACTAAGTATAAAACAATTTAGAAATAAACTGTTGTCAGCTTGCAATTTCTTTGGGGAGGAGTCATTTGTATTTGTTTTTTTTATCACAATCAAGTTAAACCTATCAAGATTTTGAATAAGATCTTCAAATCAAAGTGCTATGAGAGGTTCATGATGTCTATGAACTTAGCTAATAATCTATGCATGTCCTGCATGTAATTCTGAAAAGGTTATAAATGCTTGAATTTGATGCATGCATTTTTATAGCGAATTAACAATTGGATTAACAAAGCAAATTACAGTGGAGTGGAGGGAAACTGTAAGCCGCAAAGTTAAGCCCGAAAAATGAGTCAGGCTGGACACAAAATCCTGTTAATATTTCAAATGTTCACCTAAAAAGATGCACACACTCATTGCAAACAAACAAAACTTCAATGGTTGTGGGTTTCCGAGTGTGCATCGGCAGCTGATTTAACACATAAAATAAAGAGAATTGGGGAGAAGGTGATTATACATATCCATTGTAAGACAGCATGTCACAATTTAATGGGTTACCATAATTGTCCTGGATCTTGCGTACATACCAAGAAGACGCAAGTAGCATTATTTGTCTTGCACCATCAGTGTACATAAATATCAATATTATATGTCTCTCACATTAC